CTTAGACCTACATAACTCAATTTGAATTTAGAAATGTGGGATTAACTAATAAAATTTATTGTGTATTATAAAAGATCATACGTTATTTGAACATAAGAAAGGATGAATATAAACACTGAGTTATCTGAGTTATTTAAATATTTAGCTTTGACGGACTTATCAATATATTTGTTTTAGCGCAAAGCTAAAAATGGGCTTCATCGCGGTATGGGTTCATAAGTTTCGATGTTGTAAGCCTCTAAGCTTCCCGCTAAGCCACCGGGGAAAAAGGTTTAATTTAAGTACACATTAACCGCTTACTTGGTGTCAAATCTTCCAGTGATAAAAGTCATGAATATATTTAATATAATGATCATTTATTTATCTCTTTTTCTTTCAGAAAGAAGGGGGAAAAACAGGCCATGGACCCAGTTACAAAAACTCCTGCTATTCAAGAAGTGGACGGCTTTTTTATTCCAAAAATGTTTTCCCCGGATGCTTTTAGAGATACCTTGAAGTACCGGCCGCGAGACGATGATGTTTTTATAGTGACGTATCCAAAATGTGGGACAACATGGGTTCAGCACATTGTAATGAGCATTTTTAAGAAGGGAGAACCGATTGCTAATTTCCTGGAGTTTCAAAGATCGACCCCTTTCTTAGAGATGACTGGGCCTAAAGCTGCCGAATTTATGCTAAGGCCGGGAGCCATCAAAACTCATCTTCCTTTCCATCTCCAGCCTTATTCTCCCAAAGCAAAGTTTATTTATGTCGCCAGAAACCCTAAAGATTGTTGTGTATCGTTCTTCCACCACATGAAGATGTTTCCGGGCTATGAATTTCAGGACGGATGTTTTGATGACTTCTTTGAATTGTTTATTAACGGATTCGTAGATTTTGGAGATTACTTCGACCACCTTCTCTCCTGGTACGAGCATCGGAATGATCCAAATGTTTTGTTTATCACGTACGAAGAGATAAAGGCTGACACAGAAGCTTCGGTGATGAAAATGGCCGGCTTTCTCGGCAAAGAATATGTAACGATGTTGGAGAACGACCCGTCCATCATGAAAAACATTTTATACTACACAAGTATTGAATACATGAAGAAAAACACCAACAAGCACCTTGCAGACTTTTTGATGGCTCCACCAGATTTATTGTTAGCAGATCCCAATCTTCCAGACGGACTTCGATACTTCATAACCCACGTGAAAAATTTGAATGTTCCGCCACCGAAAGAGAGCACCTTCATACGTAAAGGTATTGTAGGAGACTGGAAGAATTATCTCTCTCCTGAACAGTCGGAAAGACTGGCTAAAAAATTCAAAGAGAAAACAAAGGGAACAGACATCCCAAAACTGTGGCCAGATATGTTTCACTAGCCACAACAACGATTTAAAAATAATTGTTAATTCTGAGGGCTTGTATTTTAAATCTGTTTATTTCTCCCATGTCTACCACGTTATCTATTTAGTTAATTTTTTGAGTTTTGTACTCGATATTGTAATCGTATTTTAATCTTGTGAAGTGCACGTGAATAAATATTTTTACTATTTCTGATCGCTTCTAATTTCACGAGGGATTAACGAAAACACGAGACATTAACTGAACATGCGCAACAGGAGAAAAATGTATATATCACTTGGTTAAAAATAATAATTTCAAGTCTGTCATTCTGTGGATATTAATGTGTTTGAAAATGGGTTTTAGGAACTAGGTACACAGGAGGAGCAGCAGTGGGGTGATAGGTATAAAAAGGAAATGGGTTTTAGGAACTAGGTACACAGTTAGGAGGAGCAGTGGGGTGATAGGTATAAAAGGAAATGGGTTTTAGGAACTAGGTACACAGTTAGGAGCAGCAGTGGGGTGATAGGTATAAAAAGGAATGGTTTTAGG